CCCCACACACACACAAACCTACCTGTAGAGCAGCCAGTATATTGGCCAGAGCCTGGCCGTACGTGTCGTGACAGTGCACAGCAATCTTGGACAAAGGCACCACCTCAGAGACAACCGACACCAGGTGCTTGACCGCTCCAGGCGTGCCCACCCCGATGGTGTCACCCAGAGAGATCTCGTAGCAGCCCATGTCCAGCAGCTCTTTCGCCACCTGGGAAAGCGTGCATTGAGCAACGGTCATTATGCTGAATAGAAAACATGTTTCTGTAATAATGTACAAAATTTCCTGTCTATAAAATATAAACTTTTGATTTTACAGAACACGGAAACTTACCTCTGGGACAGATCTCATAACTTCTTTTGACTTTCTTTATTTTAGTTTTAGTAAGAGTTTTACTGCACTTGCAACACAATAAGGTCATATAAGTGATGAAGATTAGAGGTGTTATAAGAGAGTAACAAACGCAAAAAAGGAGGAGAGAGAAAGACGATAGTCTTTTATATGATAGAAGGAGCAGACCACACCAGAACACCCGCCAACCACCCATACTTTCTTTAAGATGTGGTGGATAAAAATCATTTGAGATACTCATCGTTCTTGCAACAGCAATGATACACATTGAAACAAAATGATAAATAATTATTTATAGTCTAATAAAAATAATAGTAGTGATAATAATAATAATAACAGTGTAATAACAATAGCATTTATAAAGTGCATATCCAAGCTAGCTCTGTAGCATCCTCTGTGCGCTTTACAACCATTATCACATATATCTGAAATTAAAACTATGACAAATAGGACTACATAATCTACAATGTCCTCACCTCTGCCACTTTTTCAGCTTTGACATCTCCTTCGTACGGGCAGCCCAACACACAGGATACATACCTAAGGAACAGATAGATGAAAATGAAGGTGGGGGGGCGGAGAGGGGGGGTGAAAATGTTCACTGCAAGCAACTACATCTCTGATTATTTGATCCTTTGTTGCAGGTGGTTGGGGAAAGCCACTGGTACATCCTACTTCTTTACTTTCCCTCTGTTGTTTCTGTCTGTCTGTCTTACTTTTCTCGCCACTAAATGACTATTACGGTGTTGATGTGCTTCTCTTTACTCAAACAAAGAAAAACATGACCCTTTGAGTGTAATTTTTTTACTACATATAATTCTGTTCTAGTTCGGATGAATTTTTGGATTTTTTTTGTTGTTGTTGAAAGTTTTATTTTTGTTCAAATTTCGGGTCAAAAAGAATCTCCAGTACATATTACTGTTTCAGAGGTGACAGTCATGCTTCCTAATGAACAGACAATAAACACGACCGGTCTAAATATATCTGTCATTTTACAGTACAAATCTTATTATGGACAAGATCTACTTCTCACAATTGAAAATGAACACTAAAGTTAAGTGTTTTCTATTATTCACTTCTTTTACCGTAGCTTTGACAAACTATAGTGTACTTTGCAGTCTAACCATACTTCAAACTTGAGTAAAGACAAACGCGTATACAAAATAACAGGCAGTTAGTGCTGGAACAGAGAAAAACAAACAGACAAAAACAACAGAGGGAAAATAAAGTAGGATTCATTCGTGTCATCATCCACCCCAACCCCTACCATAAGTCAGCATGAAAACATAACGTTAAGTAAGGTTAAAAGATAAAAAATCTAGAAGTTTTACACCACTATTGACACTGTTCAGATCATTTATGGGGGAGGTCTTCTTCCAATCTGTCTACCAGGACCAACCAAAGCTGAAAGGGAAATAATGTCCCAGCAAAAAGACGGAGAAAAAACTCAATAAAAATTCTACCCACACGGAAATCAAACTCCTGTCTCTGGTGTGAGAGGGTAAAGTCCCTATCCACTACACAACATACGCTGGTATTAAGTGAGGAACAAATTAAGACAATCATCACTTTGAAAAGGAGTATAGTAAGCAGACCACATCAGAAACCAACCAACAACCTACTTTCAGTTTTACAGTAGAACTGCTGGCATCATCCATGCCCCAGTGCAGAACCCGCATATGTGATGTAATGGTAACACCCAATGCACACTACCAATTGAATTCATTTGACTGAGTCACAACCAGCGAAATTTTCCTGTATGGATGAAATAAATACTACCATTTTGGCACAATTCAACTAAATTCAACTGTGACCTTTAAAATCATACGAGTTTATTTTTCAAGGTCCAGAGTCGAATCAGCCGTGTTGTGACAAAATGGGAGCCCTTGACCCTCCAAAGAGGAAAAAATTTGGCTGACCCCCACTAAATTCGATCAGATCTGATCGGCAGTGTGCACTAGGGCTGGGTCACGAGCGCGAGAGCGGAACTGAATCGTCACTCTTTCCTGCGGAACGCGATTCACGATTCACTTCAGCGGAACGCGAAACAGTATCGCCAAACGATTCCCGATTCACTCCCCTGTCGCTGTCACCACCTTGTGGCTTGTTTAACCTACTGCTGAGTCGAGTCACAAGCGCAAGAACGGAACGGAACACTTAGTATGGCTCCCCTTATTTTACAAAAGATGGTATAGTCCAACCCCCCTATTAAAACAAAATGAACGGGGTCCAACCAATAGACAGAAGGAATTTTTATGGAGCCATTGTTTTAGGGAATGGTGGGGTTGGGGGGGGGGGAATTTATGGGGGTCACTAATTGAGGTCAGTTGATAGAGCAGCGCAACAAAGGGTGTGGGGTGGAGAGGATGGCGGAACAACAAGAGTAGGACTCGCACTCGTCAAGAGGCGTTGATATGACACTGTTCCGTTTCAGTCACAGTGTTCCACCATAGCTCCACGAGCGCTCACGTACTCGCGATTCATTGAAGCTGACTGAATCGCCAATCGCCACTCTCAAATTTGACCAGCACAGGGTATAAGGCTCTCTGCTGTTGATAACAGAACAGAGACGTTTGAGCCTTGCTGGTCAAGTTATTCTAATCTACGCCTGTCTGCTGGGATCCTGAATCATGTTCCGCCCGGGTTGGGCCAGGCAGACACAATCAAAGCTGCCCGCCTCGTAAATTATCTAAATTGTGTTGACGGGAGAGTAAAACAGCAAAAATAACTTTTTAAAACAGTGTAGTAATACACTTACCCTCTCACTGGAATGTTGACTTCTTTGGCAGCCTCTGTGACTTCTTTGAACCTTTGCAATGACTCACGGATGGAGCAGTTGATGTTCTTCCTGGAGTCCACAACATGACAATGGTTAATACCACAGACTAATTGAATCACGAATGTACCCATCCAGCTCTTCACTCATCAACTCACTCTCATTACATCATTCATTCACTTAACCACACTCACCTACCTATCTACCTCCTCACTCACACATCAAACACACTCTCATTCACTTACAAGCATCTACCCATCCCCATTTCTTCACTCACCCACTCACACATTCACTCTTTACTCACTCATCCACACATCCACTCACTCTGTAAACCACCTAAGCCATCAACTTACAGACCCACTCACTCATTCACCTACTCACTCATGTACTAATTCACACACTCATCTACCCATCTTTCATTTTACTCATCCTCACACACATTCATTCACTAAGTCATCTATCATCTCCTCAATTACCTATTCGCGCACTGACCAACTCCCCACTCACCCAAGTGCATATTCACACACCATGTATCTATTTATCTCTTCACTCATCCTCACACAAACTCGCTCACTCAATCACCTACCTAAGCATCAATCTCCTCTACCACCTACTCACTCACAAACCCATATGCTCACTTACCTATCCATCTCTTAACCCAATAACTACTCACTCACACATTCACTTTCTCATTAACTTAACAACAATCTCCTTACTGCCATCATTTTTACAAGTACACTTTCAACAGTTTTTACAATTTTACAGGAGAGCCAGAGAACTGAATTTTGCTACCAAGAAAATAACACAATTTGTTTAAAGATTATAAAAACGTGATTATAAGAATTGTATTCTTCAATAAAGTCGTAAAAAAAGCATATACTGTACTTTTAAAAATGACACCAGCTTACTCATTCACTCACTCACCTACTCACTCAGTCACTCATTTGCTTAGTCATTAACTCACTCATTGCTTAATAATTAAATAAACAGAGAGTGCACTTGAAAATCAATTCAGCTTGTGAAACCTTTAATCCTTATTTCTAAATTTTAAAAACAGAAAATAAACAACCAATTATACCAATACACCAATACTATTCACAGACACAATCTTACCTCCCCCCCCCC